GAAGATCACAGAAAATCGTAAACAGTTGTTCAGAAATCTCTGCAAGAACTTCCTCGTCCTGGGATGTCTTGAGAGAGTCCACGAGACCCTCAACTTGGTTGCGAAGACGTGCGTACTTATCGCGCGCGATGTTTTCTTCCAGGTCCACCTCGTCAAAGCCTTCTTCCAATTGCGCAAAGGGATCGTCTTCATCTTCTTGGTCTCCCAGCCATGAGTTAGACAGCTTCGAGTTTAGCATCAATGTACTTTGATCCGAGCCATCGTCGCTCTCTGCTTGATCTAGAGCAGCTTGGTCGGCCCCAAGAATATCAGAGAAGTCCTCGTCATTTTCATTCTCAGCAAACCTCTGGATCTCAATGGTAGAGCGATCGCGCTTCACGGAAAGCTGTTTGCGCAGCTGAGGATGAGGATTACCAAAATCGGCATCTAATTGATTGTATCCTATGTTTTCATGAATGGGTGATGATGGATCATCCTCGAAGTCCTAGAAAATGTTAGAATCATACAGAGAAATTGATCTCTGGTCGGACTGTACCTGATAACCACCCAACTTTCTATCTAATGAATCCTCATTGGCCATAATGAGATCGGAATAATCATCGACAGAGTTTTCTTTGTAGAGATTGGTCTGACGAGGAGCCGGACGAGCTCGTCTCGGCATGGGATTTTGGGTGAGGATTGGGACATTTTGCAATGCGGAAACGGGGGGATTGGATCCAGGCTGGGAGAGCGCAGGGCTTTGAGGCTTGGAAGGCTCTGCCACAGAAGGTTTGCTGGGATATGGTCGGATGGTCTGCAAAGTATCCTCGTCGGACAAGCCTGAGCTATCCTCAAAGGGATCAGAATTGTCATCAGATCTGAGTATAGTCCCATCGAGTGACGCAAAAGCTTTAAGTCTCTCAGAAGAGAGCATGCCACCGAAGTTATCATGTGGTCGTAGATGCGGCAGCTTGAGTGCGCTAGGAGAGATTGCAGTAGCAAAGTCATCGTCCCAATTGTCATCCCCTGCTAACACAGGTGAACGAAAGCGATCTGTGGGTTTGATAGCGGTTGGTGATGGCAGGCTATCCACCAATGGATTATTTCGTGAAGATGGCAGGCCTGAAGTACTGGGGTGGTCTGGCCTCTGCTTTTTCTTTGAAGTCCCTGTTTCGGGTGACCGCAAAGCCTCGTTCCATTCTTGGACACTTTTGACGGCTTCTTCATATTCTGTAGACTTCTTAGGGATGACGGATTCGGTTCTGCGCGCATTGACAATCCACGGGTGTTTAAGCAACTTTCTTGCTGAGACTCGAAGGTTGGGGTCTTTTTGGAAACATTGCATGAGGAAGTCTTTCACGGCCTAGATAGAGTCAGCATCACACGCGTATGCTTGAACAATCGATAAAGACATACCGGCGAAGCACCCTGCGAAAATGGAGGGTGATCATCGTTCACGATACGAAATAGTGCTGGCATGGGTTGCATGTTATGATAGGGGGGTTTGCCTTCGAGTAGCTCGATCACAGTGCATCCCAAACTCCAAATATCGGAAGCTGTTGTCGCTCCTGAAAGCTCGATTACTTCGGGGGCCATCCAGTACGGCGTACCAACCACGCTTGATTCACTCAAGCCCGTAGTTCGACTCGCCACGCCGAAATCTGCAAGCTTGACGAGTCCTTCCTTTGTGGTCAGAATATTTGCACCCTTGATATCTCGGTGAATAACACCCTGTTCATGCAAGTAGAGCAAGCCATGAAGAACCTGGGACATATATAGTCCCACAAGATTCTCAGGGAAACGACCAAAGTTCTTCGCAATGGAATGCAACGAGCCATTTTCGCAATATCTATGAAACATTAATTTCATGTCCATTAACTTAGACTTGAACCAGGAGAAACATACTCGAGGATGATGTTCAAAGTTTCAACGGATTTCACAAATCCGTGGTACTTGACAATGTTGGGGTGCTGCAAGGATCTATATCAGTACGGGGTTTGTTGATATATTTTGGCGGAGTGTCTCACATCGAGATTTTTGAGAAGGTCAATTTCAAGCTGTTGCATCGCGTGTTAGCACATCAGACGAACGCCGAAAACGATTGTATCCCATACCATGATAACGCGCAATTCACTCTTGGGAAGATCCGTCAGCTTGATTTGCTTGACGGCGACAGTCTCCCCAGTATTCCAATTCAACGCGCGATACACGGAACCGAAAGCGCCTTTGCCCAGGCAGTCTCCCAATTGCTACCATAAACACCCAAGGTCAGCATCTGCCCAGTCCATATTTTGCGGGGCAACAGAGCACCGTATCCATACATAGTCCTTGAGTTCCGCAACATCTTTTGCCGATGATTTCAAAACTTTGTCTTCCTTCAATTTCTCTTCTCGCTTCGTCGGACTCGTTCCAACTCGTGCCAATCGAGGCTTCATCGGGGTTCCGGGGGTTCTCGAGGAGGGGGTGAGAGGGCGAGGCTGCCCTTCGCTCCCTTCGCCGGGCCGAACGACCATAATGATACGGACTGGGGCCGGTTGTATCCGAGTAGGTGTTCGAGCTAGCTGTCGGTCTCAGGATGAGGTTCGAGGTGGAGGAGGGGTGGGGTGAAAGCCGAAGGAGGCGACCTTGAAAGAGCTGATAGCAACGGTCTCAGAGGTCATATCCACAGGTTCTGGTAATGACAATTGTCAGTCAGTCCAGGTACAAACAAGAATCATGAATAGCAGCTTGCATGCGGACGTTGTGGGGAGGGTCTCACCAAGCGGACATTACAGCACTTCAGCTCTCACGCCCTAGAGAGCTGTTTCCACGACAAGTCGAGGCGCATGCGATATCTTCAGATGGATACAAATATCATGCAGTAATCTGAAGAATATCGATCTAATAAAGGCGACAATAGAGCGTGAAGGGGGTTGTTCGCAAAGAAATCGTGGTTGTTTTGAACTTTCGTGCTCCACCCGCCGCATCATGCAGGCTGTGCTGGACAATCGCCGATCAGCCCTATGATACCCAGTTTGATGGACTTTTTGTTATTCGACCAAAAAATAATACGATGACTTGATATATAGCTGTAATTTACTATAAGAAAGGAGGTGTAGAAAAAGAAATAAAAGGTTTGTTTGTTGTCCTAGGATTCTATTATTTACCGATATAGATCGGCGAAATTCAATCGATCTATACAGGGTATCATTTTTGGGCACGGAGAAGGCGTAACACATCGGAAACAAGGTACAAACTACCAGCAATGACAAGAGGACCTCCTTGGGCCACTTCACTAGCCCACTGAAGGGCAGGGAGTAAATCTCCTTCAAAGCTTTGGACTTGTCCAATATTTTGGATAGCTTGAATGGAAGAGGCGAGGTCTTTGGCATTAGTTGGTTGGACCCATGGCATCCCGTCCACGGGCCCGAACTCCGCAGTGGCGACTCGATCTCCGGGCCGGATAATGGAACCAAACACTGCAGCCAGGTCCTTTCCACTTGACGCGGCAACAACCCAAGTCACTGGTTGGCCTGGAATACGCATTTTGCGATCCACGTACTTTCCGAGAACTTCAGCAGATTGCGCATTGTGAGCACCATCAAGCAGGATAGGCTCTGCGCGACCAATCAAAGGTTGGAGGACAATGGTTTGCAAACGGCCCGGCCATGTTACATCGGCCAGATATGGAAGCAACGTGAATGCATCCATCTCAGGTCGTAGTTGAGAAAGGGCAAGACGAAGCGCAGACACTGCACAGCACATGTTCTCTTGTTGGTGGGGCTCTAGGTCAAGCTTCTGGAAGTAAGGTGCAAGAGCCGGAATTTGTTCAGAGACCGTTGCGGGAGAGACAAACAAGGAATCTATACCCAGCTCTTGACTATGAGCCCGCACAGTTTGAACCACTTCCTCACTGTTTGTATTGTCTACCACGCAAGGGACTCCAGGCTTGAGGATGCCCGCTTTTTCACGAGCAATCTCCCCAATCGTCGATCCAAGAAAGGCCTGGTGGTCCATCCCTATCTTTGTAATGACCGAGACAAGAACATTATTCAGAATATTTGTTGCATCTAGACGCCCACCCATGCCCACCTCGACCACACCAACTTCGACTTGTTCATGGTTGAATATCTCGAACGCCGTTGCGGTCAACAACTCGAATTCGGAGGCACCGATGCCTAGGGTTTGATCGCGTAGTTTGACTTGGTCTTCGATCTGTCGGAAAAGAGATTCTTGGACCACTTTCTCTCCAATGGTAATACAGTCCCACCGATCGATTAAATGCGGGGAAGTGAAGCGGCCGCAACGCACTCCGCCGGTGGACAGCAAATGGGAAAGGTAGGCACTTATGGATCCTTTACCGTTGGTTCCAGCAATGTGAATGGCCTTCCATGAGAGCGGAGTCTGCTGAAGCAGACTCGCGACCCGGGTCAATCCTAACTCGATCATTCCTCTGATTGTAGCGTGATGGGAATTTGGAGGTCAATTGTCATTATTGACCAAAAGATCAGGTAATGACAGGCAAATCCAGGACTTCAAAGCTTCATTGTCAAGAAGAAAAGCAAAGCTTGAATCAGCGTGGGCTACCGTAGTGTAGTCCACCTTTAGGTTGGAGCTTACCGTGATCGGAGGAGCATACTCACGTGATCATTTGTATGTTTATGCCTTAGGCATAAAGCTCTTCGTACTAACTAACTGGTTTGCTACATAAAGTGCAGGTGTTCATAAAGCCCATTGACCAGTTAGTCCAGATAGTTTTGTAAAGTGGCCTTTTATCATAAAGAGAGATTGCCTGAAAAGAGATTACACATGGTATCGAAAGATGTCGGAATATAGCACGTGACCACTATAGCCACCCTCAGCCTCAGGCATTAAGTTCTCTAAAAACCCAATCTCCCCCATCTCCATCAACCATCTCCACCGTTATCGCAAGGCGCGTTTTACTAGTTCCATAATCGCCTTTTTTGTCTTTGCTTGTCCTTCTTTTCAAATTTTCAAATCCCTTGGTTTTTCCCCCTCTTTTTTTCTACACAAAAAGCAAAATGGGCATCCCGTAAGTCATACCACCCTTATGTTACCGCGCGACGCTATCTCATGCGCCACTGCTTCGTGATACAGTGTTGACCCTGACTTTGATATACAGTATGTGGCGTGAGCCTTCTAAGTCCGAAGCATCCAAGTCTGCTTTGGACAAGGACCCATCTGCTTCTGCACGCTCGTCGATTCGCCGGGGACCGTCGCGGCACAGTAGCTCCCGAGCGCGCCGTTCCGATATCCTGGCTTCGTTTCATTCACAGATCATTGATGAGCTCCGACGCGGTGCCGTGGAACCGAGACGCGTGCCGCGCTTCTCTTTCATACCGCCAAACGGGGCTGTCGAGAGTACAGTTACTCTGGAACAGGCCGAACGTGACGCCCTCAACTGGGCTCAGTCGCGCGCCGCGAATGCACCCCGACCGACCGACCGACCGACAGAGACAGCAAACCGGCGATTTAGGAATTATCGCGATCAAGCCTTAACCGACCTTCTCGGTCGCATGGACGCTCAGCCCAGAAATACCCATGTCAGCCCTTCATTGACTACCAACTTCGCTCCCGCTCTCGCATACCACACTAGCGCTACTTCAACCCCTTCGGATAGCGGCGTTCGTCTCCCCCCTATGCGTGACAGATACAACAGTGATCATCCTTCCAATACCATATCCCGACCAGACATACTTGAATATCTGTCCCACAACACACAAACCCGACCACCCCGAGACCCCGTTGTAGACGGGCTTGGGGATCGCCAGCGCAGTCCCAGTCCAGACGGAGAGCGAGAAACCGATGCGTGGGAGACTTTACTCTCAACTATGACACCCGATGCGACTCTTCCATCGACTGATACTTCTTTCACCTCAACTTCTGCCGCTGGGCCGGATATTTCGCGCAATCCTCGTCCTCGGAGCTCTATCAACTTGACACAGCCATTGGCGGCGGATGCTGCCCGTGCTCACTTTAGACTCGACCCCTTTTCTGACCAACTCAACCCATGCGACTTCTCTTCCTCTGATGATGAGGGTCCTTCCTCTAGTTACGTAGAATTCATGAGACAGGCAGGTGTACGTCGTCCCGATCCGCATTCGACTATGAGCAACCATCCTCCTATTTCTATCCCTGCAATCATTCCTGCAAGCGTTCTCGCTATCTCTGACGGGCGTCACCAAAGCTCCCTCTCCGACCGTCACCAGAATGATGACCTCCATCACATGCAGGTTATCCTGGATCGACTTGCACGTCGTGAGGATATTCCCGACGACTGGTGGGCCGCAGCCGGCCTTGCACGCACTCTCGATCGTGGTCTCAATGCGAGCATGGACTCCACCGACACCGAGGGCGTTTCTCGAACAAACAATTGAATACAGCCCAGGTGGTTAATACTGAATGAATGAGATTTGATGTTGGCGATATTAGCCATGGCGTTTTTTCGGCGAATTTTTACATAGGTTTTCTAATCGAATTCTGTGGCGTTGGCAAGTCCTTTTAGGACTGTCTTGTGATTTTACCTTGTATCAAGATGTTGTCTTTACGAACAATGAAGATAAAACAAGCAAGTAGATCAAATTACCTGTACCTGCCAAGTCTAGTGACGTATTGCCTCGGAGGACAGCAGTCCCCACTCGAAGAGCCCCGCCAATATGCGAAGTGGAAATAAGCATAGTTCTTCAACGAGGCAAATAACATTTGATTCCGTATCAATCATTGCCTATCTACATTCAACCAGTACACCTTGCGCTCAAAGATACGAGCCAATTCAAACCCTTCCTTTCCCTCGGATACTTCTATCTGTTTGATTCCAACGTGACTTCACTAGCCAACCATGGATCACCAGGTAGACCGACTGGTCAACAAGACCTGGGGTAAGTAAATAAAGAAGAACAAGCATAAGCTTGAAACATGGCTTCTGTCACATCCAATCACTACGTCCAAATCGCTAACAAACCACCAGCAAAACTCTGCTCAATAGCAGACGATGCGCGCCTAATGATCGCCATCAGCGGCATCCCAGGTTCCGGCAAGACCGGTCTAGCAACGGTGATGGCAGCACGGATTAACAAAATCTACGCCTCAGAGAACCCAACAACACCAACACCGATAGCCATCGCCCTCCCAATGGACGGGTATCATCTGACGCGTGCACAGCTGGCGGCCATGCCGGACCCGGCTCATGCGGCAGCACGACGAGGCGCAGCTTTTACTTTTGACGGTGAGAAATTCCTCGAGCTTGTGCGGGCTCTGCGGGAGCCGCTTACGGCCCGTACGGGCTGTCTTTACGCGCCGAGCTTTGATCATGCTATCAAGGATCCCGTTGATGGGGATATCGCCATTCCACCGAGTTGTCGGGTGCTGTTTTTTGAGGGGAATTATCTAAGCTTGGATCGGGAGCCGTGGAATACGGCTGCTAAGTTGATGGATGAGCTTTGGTTTGTTGATGTCGATTTTGAGATTGCGAGGAAGAGGTTGGTGGTTAGACATGTTAAGGCGGGAATTGCGAAGGACGAGGAAGAGGCGGATAAGAGAGCTCGAGAGAATGATTTGGTTAATGGGAGGGAGATTGTGGATCACAGGTTGCCGGTGCAGGAGGTTGTTTCTAGTATCTTTGATCCTGTTTGGGAGAAGTCATGAGTATTTTGACAATGTGCTGAGTTTGACGAAGGCCTACTATGTACAGATTTAATACTACCCTGATATGAGTATCATGATATTGCATCTTTCTGAATCCCCCATGCAAAGCCTTTGTGTGGGTAGGCCATGTTAGCTTCCACATTTCAAGGATCGGATATTAACATCGAAAAGCATCACAAAAAGATTACTAGATGCCTACATGCTACTTAATGAGACATTTCTTGGAGAGAAATAATGGGTGCATTAACTATCAAAAGACAAGGTCCTGGCTTTATGGGTGGTTTTGGGCGACCCAAAATGGTTTTGACGACAAGTTATCACATCAATGTGCTTTATGCATAGAATCAATGATCCCCTGCGCGTTGGAAAATCCCAACTCCTGCATTGTTTCTTTCCAAAGTCTCTCTGTGGCCTGCTTGCCGCTTGGCTCATACATCATGGGGTGAAATGGATGGATTTTCCAGTTCAGCACCAGACCACCGTGGCTCTCTTGATCCTTTACCGCAACTGCATCCACATATGCCCAGGCGCCTTGCTCAATTGATCGCGCTGCAATCGCGTGGACAAGGCGGAAGATGGCCCGCAGGTACGCGGGAGCATGCTGCTGGAGGCCAGAACCCCCGACTAGTCCCGGTTCTATAGCGTTGATAATGATCTCACTGGGATCCACAATCTCGCTGAGCTTCTGGACCAGCATCAGCACCAGTGTCTTGGTCAGACCGTACCGCTCCAATGCGGCCGTAGTTCCCCAGCCCTTTGGATCGTCAAATGACGGAATGAGAGGATTGGCATCGCGGTTGGCGAACTGGGATACGAGTCCCAACCCAGATGCGACTATTGTCATTCTTCCCGGGGCGTGAGCCTGTCGTTTCGACTTGAGAATGGGGAGAAGGAGGATGGCCAGGAGTGCGGTGGACAGGTAGTTGACCTGGAAAGTCGCCTCGTGGCCAGTTGTCTTGTTGATGACGAAATCACCCATGGCCACGCCTGCATTGAGGATGACCTTGTCGAGTCGGGACAGATTGCTACAGTTTTTGACGAAGCCCTGGATGGACTCGTAAGAGAGCATGTCAAGCTGCCACACTTCGATCTGAGCGTCGGGGTACTGCTTGCGGAGCGGAGAAGCGGCAGCTTCTCCCTTTTCTACGGATCGCGACGCGATAACGATGTGGGAGGCATGGTATCTGAGAAGACTGGCAGCCGCAGCGAGACCGATACCGGTGTTTGCTCCCGTGACAATGGCCGTCTGTCCGGCGAGACATGTAGACAGAGGTGGTGGAGCTGGTTTTGTGAGAAATTGAGCCCTGACAAAGGCCTGCAGCGGTGAGGCCGTGGATGGTGGAAGGGCCATTGATGCCATGATGGTGGACTTGTTTATATTTGGCCCTTTGCTGTATGTTGAGACTCAAATAGTAGGAATATTAACGAGGGCGGTTGGTGGGATGGCTCTTGATTAGAGAGCATTGGAGGCTGCCTTTATAGCCATAGCTGGGCAAAAGCATGGTGTCAATGCCATCTAGAACAGGATTATCGTATAAAAATCATCGCGGAGGAATCAAAGACCGCAATCCTCATCATTCATCATCGACACGGCTTCATCTCAGTAAAATCAGATCCGGGCCATTCCCAAAAGGGCAAACAGTGTGGTCAGTGGGCTCGTGCACCGGCTTACGACTCCCTTGCTAGCGCTGAACTCCACAGTCCGCTTCTTCCGAGCCCATCCCAAACGGGAAAACAATCTGGTCGCTTGTCTGACTCTCTAATCCGGGCCCCTACACAAGGCCATGTTGGGTATATAATCTGGTCCCGCATAGGGTGGACAGCCTGCCGCTATCTGTCATCGCTCTCATTTTCTCCGAGACGTGAGTCTAGATGCGAATGGATAAGCCCGCTAATCACTAAAACAAAGTTCGATGAACTGTGGCCATGACGATGCAATTCGCCTTTGTCACGTACGGCGGGGATGGGAAGCAGACACCTGCTGACAGGTCCCAGGTCCGCAGTCACTGCATGAAGGGCCGGAACAAGCGCGATGGATCACGTCGCTCTAACCGGGAAGTCAGGCAAGCGGCGAAGCGAGTTAGGACTAATGCCGACACGAGCACTGTCCCTATAATCAAGTGCCGGTCAAGTTCAGCAACAGCTCAAGGGGAAAATGTATCCATTTTGCGGCAGGTAGAGCAAAGGTCAGAGTTACCAGACGAGGGCCTGTGGGCTCGTCCTCTACAGGCACCTCGAGGCTTCGTCTTTCCATCGGTCGTTGATGAATTTGCGAATGCGGTCGGCCAGATGCCCGAGTCGCTGATGCGACAGTGTAAGACGGCCTCTTTGAATAGATCGCAAATTCGACTAAAAATCTATCTAGTCATGGCTTTCAATCGCATCGCCGAAGCTTCATACCCTCTCGTCGAGATTGCCGTCAACTTCAGCGACCATGCAAGCTTTAGCTCCATCTGGCCGTCTTTTGACAAGTCGTTCCTCCACACCATTCTCTTTATCAACTCAGCCGTCAACGACTGGACGCAAAATCAGCCGTTGGCCAAGTCGTCGCAGTTCCACCTGGGGAGAACGCTAACGCTGCTCAACAAAAAGCTGGCAACGGGGACCTTGCACCTAGACGACACGACTATCTACACCGTCATGCTCCTGGCAATTGTTTCTAGCACCAGCGGCGACTACGACGCCAGTAATGCGCACATGGCGGGCCTGCAACGGCTTGTAGAGATACGAAGCAGCCACGGGTACCTCTGGGTGAACCCTATCACCCAGTTCAAGCTTGAGTGCCTAGACCTGATGTGGTGCCTCACAGCGGGAGGGGCGCCACTGTTTCTCAAGGGCCCCGTGCCGTGGGATCTGGCCTTTGCCCGCCCGTCGCCATCAGTCGATACTGAGCTGTCTTTGGCTCTCTCTCAGGCGTTCACGGACCCCAGGCTCATAATTGCCTTTCAGGACTTGCAGTGGCTGACAGAGCTGGTTAACGTACACGCAGGCAGCAATATGCGACTCAACACGAGCGAGTTCCAGCCCGTTCTCAGCTCGATTCAGACTCGCCTGCTGCACCTCAAAGACCTGCTGGTTGATATGCCTGGAGAATGGCTATGCCTGGGCATGCTAGCCTTTCTCGCGACAATGTTCCGGGTCCCTGGACGACAGGTATCTTACGAGCACTTGGCAGACCGCCTCCGACGCGCATGCAGAACTCTTGTGCCGTCAGAATCCTCATCAATATCGCAGTCGATTTCAGCACCAATGTCAACAAATTCAGGCCTGCAATCCGTCTTGCGCTGGCTGGCAATTGTCTGCGGCGTGGCTGTCTTTGGCGCCAGTGAGCAGTGGCTTCGAGAGCTCTGGGACGGCATCGCGGAGCCAAACTTGTTGTGGGCAGAGACACGAACAGAGCTTAAGCGGGTTATGTGGATTGGGTGCATTCACGACGAGAGAGGGCGACGGATATTTGCCGCTTTGAAGCTTGAAAGGTAAAGTCGCGGATACTCTTGTAAACCTGGTTTACTCTCGCTTATCTACTTATGCCACGCGAAGAGGATAATAGTGCTCATACTTGAACGAGTTCATATATATAATGCTGCATAGAGGCCTAAGCTAGCCAGGATGCGATTTACAATACTACCCTAGTGATTTCCTTCGACACTATAGAATATATTTCTTTTCGCCCGCCAATATATATATAGTGCTTCCTTCCAACCAGCTAGTGCTAATATGTTAGCTAAGTCACCAGACTTACCTCGACACACTCGTTAACCAAATAGAACACCTAAGTCTCAATCGTATTTCATATCTAGGGCCACGCTTTGGATAATGCCTTGAATATGTTGCTTTCCTACAGCTTGGTGTGAGATGTACTCTACCAAGGAAATGACACGATGAGTACAATCCAATTACACTTATCATTCTTCAAATTTGCATATATGAAGACATATTAAAAGAAAACCCATTCTACAAACTAGCTTGACTCGTGTTTCAGCGGCGTACTGCTTCAGCCGTCCCATGAGTCGGAAAATTTGCAGTCGTCGTGTTATAACCTCGCATGATTACTTTGCGGTCGTCAGAAGGCCATCGACCCGATCCGATAGCCTGCTGTATGTCTTATCAAAAGTTTCATCTTCGCCAACGCAGATTCTGTAGGAGACTCTGGCGTATCCCTCAGCTTGGGATGCGAGAGTTGGTGCGAGCTCTTGATATGCTGAGCACAGAATCATCCAGCATCCCACAACGCCATCATTCATCAGCCCCCATTGTTTGACAACCAATGGAACATCTGAGACACGAGGAAGATTTCCACCTTCGATAATGAAGCCAAGTGACTCGAGGGCCTTCAATCCAAATTCCACACTCTTTTCGCGTTTTCGGGATGAAGCATAGATCGCAGCGAGAGACAGATATGGCGAATCAAGTGTAAGATGAGGGACTTCAGAAGCTGGTCGGGAATATGTACCTGCGAGGGTGGAAAGTTTTTCTTCAATCTTTCGCAAATTTATCTTGGATGCCTTAAATAATCTTCGAAGGTCGGCCAAAATTCTGTTTCGGTTTGACAAAACACTGCTGCTAGCACTGAGTGTTTCCTGGCATAATATACAATCGCACTTGAAACCCCAGTGCTGTAGGTTGGGAAATTCTTTTGGATCACTGGATATGGGTGATTTGTACCAGAACGTAATTTCGGTGTTAGGAGGCAGGTTTTTTGAAGCACGAACGATCATCATGTCTCCAATAAAAGAGCGGCGAGCGTTGCTCACACAAGAGTGATTAATGTGTGATGCCATCAACCAGACCCCAGAGGAATGGAATTGCTTATTGGCCTTTTTGGCTGTATCATCATCCCCTTTGCAGCAACTTATGTGACTCTCGCGAGAGGAAAGTGGGCACCCAAAACCGTTCAGAAGAATGATTCTTTCAACCAGGAATCTGGAGAGTATTAGCTTTGGTACCAATATGGAAACGCAGTGACATACGTATCTACGACGGGTATGCCATCCACTTCTAGAACATCCACTGATTTGTATGTGCCATGATGAAGATCGACAAAGTCTGGTATCAGGGACGGATTTTTATGCAGCTTCTGAGCAATCAATTCAATAAGCTCTGATTGAGTACCAATCATAGCTTTGTTCATGTCAACATCGAGTAACAGACGGAGATCTTGCGAAGTATCTTCATCGTGGAAAGCGTGAGAAAATGCCTTTTCGCATAACAGAAGGTCGCCTGCCTTAACCGCTTCTGTTGTGAAGAGTCCTCTCCCATGGGATTGGGTCTGCTTGACAGTCACAGGACCAATGTAGGTACCGCGGTCAAGCCTCGGGGGCCGACGCTTCTTGGCCTCCAGTATCATTTTCCTGAACTCATATTTTCCGCTACCCTGCTCCACAAGCCGAGCAGATGCTCGTGAATACTCATGTGCAGCCTGGGTATTATTTGGATACATTTCTGCAAGTATTGCGTGAACTTCACATGATTCCTTGAACCTTCGAAGTTGATACAGGGCTTGAGCCTTCCTAAAGAGACCTTTTTCTGATAGCTCTGATACTTGCAGCACATGTTCCACATCTTTCAGCGCTGCATCAAAGTGGTAGGTTTTCAAAAAGGAAAGGGCACGATTGAGCTGCGCTATTACCACCAATTCTGGCGATGGATGGGCGTCCAAAGTCTTTGAATAGCTAAATTATTCCCAGTATCCCCTTTCAGACAGCGATATTTTGCAGCTTACCATAGGATTGCCGAACGATAATCACCCTGATAAAAGTGCTCACTTCCTTTCGTTTTCCAATAAGAGGCGTTCTCATCAGCCTGCGTCACACATTTCCTCCAGGATAAGGGAACCAGGTCGTCAAGCTCGGGGACAAAGCAGACGTCCGAGAGATGATCCACTCGAATCCCGTAGTCTCCGTCTGCCATTACTTTCACGTAGGGTTCTTTCACAACAAGTACTGTATTCTCCCTCAGGCTGTGTGTATTCGATAGCTCCTGCTCTTGGTTGTAGAGCTGCAGCATGAGAACACTCCCGTCTTCATCTTCTACGAGGGCCATCACGGCGGTCATCGTATCTGCTGGAGTGACCGTTCTCATCAGGAGATACCGTTCCCTATGATGAGTTTCAAGACACAGGTTTTTGATCATAACCTTCTTCAACTTGCTGAAAGGAGTATAGCATGGGGGATAGGCAGGTGGTAGAAACGAAGATCGGATATCCGTCCGATCCGCGGGAGTATTCGTTTTCATCATTCGTCGAAACATGAATTGCATCAGGATCTCATCTTTGGACCTTTGGGATTTTGCTGGACGGCCCTTGGGGGCTTGCGCGTTCTTCAGATTTTGCTTATGTGTTTGAAGATATGTCAAGTACTCCGGAGCATCGGAGACGTCGTGGGTATCCATGCTGGTGACAGAAAGGCCAAGTGATTCCAAGCCGTAGTGGGCACCGAAGAAATGTAAAGGGCAAGAAGAAAGGATTTGAACTACCAAATGAGAAATTATTCGAGAGGAAGGTGATCGAAGAGGATGCGTTGTCAAACCCCAGGCGGGGTAGGAGGTGACAAGGGAGTTGGCTGGCAAACAACGCATCGAGCAAACGGCTGAATATTATAAGGCAACCACCTGGGCAAACCCTCGGACTGGCAGCGCAAAGCACAGCAGCCCTCACGGATAAATAGCCAAAGCCGGGCCTGAATTGCACTCGGCCTCTCCTTGCTGCACTTGAACCCGTAGATATTGGTATTACATTTATTCGAATACTCGCGGGTAAAATTATATGTGGTATATATACCTCTCTGCTCGAGGATCTAGTAAATTTATTTTTGGAGTATATTCCAGCACGTGGAAGTCTTTATCACCGCCGTCATCTCGACTACCCCATCTCATCGAGCAGCCAGCATCTGGCCAGTAACCCTACTCTGCACAGAAAGTGTATATAAAGCCAAATCAGGTGGCGGGGGATCTCTTAGTTCTTCCGTTTCATGCAGTATATGGTCGACCCCCTCAGCAAGGAGAATATGATATCGTGATCGAAAGAAAGGATTTTGGAAATATCACATGGTTGCTGTTTTGATACCTGCTTCTGATATTAAGGTACCACACTCTTTGCTATATAGTAGTGCTATGGTATATTGATTGGAAGTCTTTAATCTTGATAGAACCATCGTACTGCGTTTATAAAGATACAAGGGGGGGGGGGAGGGGAGTCCAGGTATTATTTGACAACCGGACATGATGGAGAGAGAGAGAGAGAGTAGCTGAATGACTCCTTTAGTTATGTATATATATAGTCTAATTGGCTGCATGGCTCCACTCTGTTTTTGCAATCTTGGCCGATCAACTAACAACATAACGATACCTATCTGGGGTCTACTACCGGCCATTCCCGTAGATAAATATCTCGCATTCATCTTGCCAATTATCTTTACTTTTAGTTTAAACCACGATCATTCAAAATTTTGGAACGGGACGAGGTTTAGCAACCTTTTCGTACACTGCCATGAACCGCAATAGTGTCTCCTCCTCGTCCGCTCTGGCCACTAGACATAGACCGAACGGCCGGCCATTATAACGAAGTTGTCCTATTGGAACTGTGGCGACAGGATACCCTGATTCTATTAGCAACGGCGATTTAAAAGTGCAATTGATGAGTGTTACCTGCAGCAGAAGCATGAACACATAACGGGGAGTCTCCCGGAGCTGCCAGAATATTGATTTTTTCCTTGTCAAATAGGTCATCCAGAATAGCTCTCGCGGCCCTGCGAAGGCTCTGTTTCAGTTCATCTATTTGTTCCTTTTCTTCAGTGGCGGCCATTGCCCCTTGTAGATCATTCTGCTCGACGAATGCTGCGTTGTGTTAGTAGCTCTTCACTGTAAAATCTTAGGAGCGTGTCCTCCTGTCAACCTACGAGCTGGAAGGGCTTTGTCGCTGTTCTTTTCATTGAACTCGATGATATCTGCAACGCTTGTTACAGAGCACTCGTGAAAAGAGCGAATAAATCTAGGGATGCAGAGATTCCTAAAATCCCAATCTAGTAGTGGTTAGTCATCCTAATTTCATATGATAACCGGACTGCAGCGACCTACATGCGATCGGCAATATAGTAGTCGGTAAAACTGAGGGATCCTTGCAATGGATTGGGTATTTCAGAGTACAGCCTCCGCTTCGTAGAGCGGAAACTGTCCCTTCGTACTCGTCTACCTAAAATCAACTGTTCGAACTGTGAAAGTTTTGATGAAATGAGAGTGACGTACCATTTGCTCTGCTGTCCCCTCAAATTGCGTACAAAGGTCTACTGATAAGCTCCAAATATTTGGGTCCAGGAAGCCCACCGAAAGACCTTCCCAGGAACCCAATTTGGGGGAAGTAAACAGGCGACCGAGTAGAATTTCGGAAAGAACGCGAACATCAGCTGCTGACTTTGCCATAGGGCCCGGACTGTCGAAGAATTCCGTCATGGTGTATAGCCCAGTAGTATCCTGGGCCCCGGTAGTAGGCTTGAGTGCATAAAGACCGGCCCGTGTTGACGGGGTCACGATAGAACCTATGGTCTCAGTGGCCATGGCAAGAGGGCTAAATCCGGCGGCTACAGCAACCGCAGAACCAGTGGATGAGCCCCCAGGAGCCTGCTTAGTTTTAGTACAAATGAACAATATCTGTAATTTTATGCACTCACCGAGTGGCCAAGTATCTTCTCATTATCCTCTATCTTTCCCACATACGGCGACAGAGTCTGACCGCCGTGAGCAGACCAACCGGGCATCATCATAGTCATTTTCATGCCAGCGAATTCCTAGAACAATGGTCAATCCAATAACATCCCCTAAAAAACCGAACGTCCACTCACAGTCATATTAGCCTTTCCCAAGATAACCATGCCAGCGTCAATCAGCCGCTGAGTGATAGCTCCGTTCTTTGACGCCTTGGCTCCAATGAATGCATATGATCCAGCTGTGGTGCTCATGCCCAGCTCCGACGCTGTGACAAAGCTGTCTTTCAAAATTATGGGAATTCCATGAAATGGGCCCCGGATTTGCCCTTTCTGGCGCTCCTCATCCCGAGCCTTGGCGATCTCGAGGACCTGGTCCCGCGGGGCAGGCGAAATAAGTGCATGGAGGGTAGACTCATAGCGATGGATCTGTGCCAAGTATTCTTCCACGATATGAGCACTCGTGGTCTTTTTCTCTTCGAGTAGCTGCTGCAGGTCAACCGCGTTAGCTGTGAGAACGTTGACGATCATTTCTGCACTCAAGGTTGGGATTTGGGCGAGTAGCTAGGGGGAAGTGCCTCTGTTGGTAAAATGCATTTTAGTGTAGTGCGAGCACGTGCTCAAAAACTGGTTGCTGCCTGGTCTCCCAGTATCCATTCAAGAGTAGTTAGGATGACATATGATTACTTCGAGATTCGAGTCTCAAAGTTTACAAAAAGCGATAGCCCATCCATTATGCATTGTGTGGAATTTTCATTTAGCTCCCCGTCCTTGTAATAACTGAAGCTACTTTTCCACAGTATCGAATACAGAATGCAACTTCACCCAGTCGACCAGCTTCGAATATTTTCGACGCTTATGCGGAAGTCTTCTGCTCTCCACCCTCCCATCTTGGCTTGTTACTAAGTATTATGGAGTCGCATCACTCTGACATGCAAAGACCATTCTCAGCTTCACAATACAATGGTCTACATGGTGCCTGCGTGTCTTCTCTCCACCACTGAAAGAGGGCAGTTTGCTATAGTCCCAATGATCTCGATAGATGAATTGCCCTACAAGATTCTGCCAGAGTCTCTATTAGCTAGGTAGCCCCAACATCCACCTCGCATCACTCACCAAGCAATGAATCTGGTGCGCCCCCTCTAAAAGACTACCGACCCCCGTACCCGTCCCCGCGCCCACTAACCTGAAATCATCCGTCATTGAAGACTTGTTCAATCCCGCGAGAGATTCTAGGGCTACAATAAAGGCGCCGACTCTTTGAATGAGCTTTGCCTCATCTACTAGGTAGATATTTGGAGGTTTAAACTCACAGTCCCATAACGCTCCATATGCTTTCTCTGAGGTAGCGGAGGGGTAGCCGCTATACTCATCAGGCTGGAAGGTATCATTCAATTTCACCAATTTAAGCTTGACAGCCTCCAGCGCTGGACCTATTGTCGTTGTTGTTAGCTGTGAGGAGCATGACTTCAAGTGGAAAGACAAACTTGGAGCTGACAACCGCCGCAAACACTTTTCATCCGATAACTCGTGGTAATACTTGAAGAATAAGAAAGAAATGGATAAAATAAGGCAAAGGCATGATAGAAAAAGGTGAGATAGTGTGTACATTGTGCTTTTGCGCTTGACAGCCTTTTGGCCATTGACCGACGGTCACCCCGGTGGTGAGGAATTGGAGGTGATATCATCGAAGGCATCGTCGCCGATGGAGGCAACTTGTTGGTATCGGAGAGGCTTGAGAAAGTGACTCAGATCTAGCTTTCACATGTTAGCATGTGCAACTGTATGGATAGTAGGTGCGGCGAAATTTAGTTGAATTATACCCCAATAACGGGTAAAGAAGGACACAGCAATTGATCCAGTCCCAGGCACGAGAAATGAGATTGAATTTTGGTTTCAACACGTTGGGAATACCTCGTTTTGGTTACAAGTAGCATTTTGTGGCGAAGGGGCGGTTAGAAGGGGCGGCTAATCTGATTTCTAGAGCGGAGTGGAGTGCTGGGCCCTGCACGGAAGACCGACGGACGGAGACACCAGATGTCTGAGACGCTATAGTTTATCTCTGGATCATAATGAGTTTTCTTTTCGGGAATATATAAAGATAGGAAGAAGAAATAAAAGTTTTGGGTGCCTATGATCAATGAAGCTCTGGTGGCTCCTCCTCCGAGCTTTAGCTCTCAGCTGACAGACTGGGCTCACCAAACATGGAGAACACTTTTCGTGTTCTGGTGGGGAGATATCCATAACCACTACGACGTGTATCTCTGGACCATCCCAGCTGAGTTCAGATCGTCTCTTCCCGTTTTTCTCTTTATTCCGATGTATATCACCGTCAAAATCTGGGATCGCCGACTACTTACATTAATGACTATAATCTACGTGTATGCACTGGACAGATGGGATGTGGCATCATGTTACACTGGCATGCTAATTGCAGATACGAGTATAGACTGGATGCCTACATGTGACGAGACTAAAAACAGTAAGATCTCAGAGAGAACGGTGTACACTGTCCTACGAATCGTTCTTCTCGGTTTAAGTCTATACCTACTTTCCGCTCCGGACTTTTGCGCCTCTCAGACCCCCGGTTTTAGGACCTTGGGTCGGCTAATGCCGTCTCCAGACCCGGCCCCATTTGGTTTCCTACCAAACCTCCGAGGAATGATGTTGGTTAGTCTCGTCATTCACACGCCACCCTCCAATACTGTTATATCGACAGTCTTGAATGGTTGTATTCCACAATATCTGGGTCGCATCAGCTACAGTCTTTATATTGTGCATGGTCCGTTGACACACATGATTGGGTGTCCCCTGTTCAACGCATTTTGGACAGTTACGGGCATTGATAAAGTGTGGAGATACGTTGTCGGCTTCTTAGGAGCGTATTTTGTTCTCCTGGTGATTATTGTCTGTGTTGCGGATTTGTTTTGGAGGGGCATTGATATGTCCTTTGTGCGAGCAGCGCGAAGGTTCGAGAAACTCATCACCGTTACTTTGTAGGTAGAATAGATTTAATTCCTCAATTTTGAGCTGTGGTAGCCGTATGCCAATCTTTTGTTTTCAGAGTCTAGCTGATATCGTTTTGATAGTCTGCAGTGTTCAGCTCGTGTTCCCTTGTCCATAGGTGAATTTTCTCAAAATTGCGGCATTTGTGCTGTGTATTGAAGTCCGCATCAATTCCCAAAGGCTGGGGTCTTTGCGAATGAGGTACGGCGTGACGTCAGATGTACACTGTAAGAAGATCCTCAAACTGTTGATACAATGATCAACGTGCTGATTAGATGTCAGCTATCTGCTCCCTGGAACGTAGTAGAATTCTCATCAGCTTACGTGTCGGATTTGCTCATCAGTTCCATCAAAAGCTGGCTGTCGACTGTAGTTATACTGGTCTCGATAGGCGTACTGTCGCACGAGATCCAGACAGTGAATCTGGTGGAATACTATCGGGATAGGTCAACTGAGTTCCTTATTCCGAAAATGAAATTCAATGATGAAAACCTTCTAGTGACCCAATGACGCCTCCTCTCTTGTCCGGCTTGGATCTTTGCCAATCAGGAGTTGTGGACTTATTCAAAGCGCTCGGCTTCTCTAATGGAATATTTACAGGCCCAGCTTTTTTCAAGTTAATTAGCGGCTCCAGCTATCAATTGAACTAGGAAACTTACAATTCCATAGATCAAGCCAGGCTTTCTCAAGGCGTTATGGACGGGCACTCGAAAATCTAAATAGCCTACCGCCTACCATGGACGGGTGATGTCGCAGTCTAGGATTTACATTACGTCTGCCAGTCGGCGACGTTCTTTAAGGCAATGGACGATTCTTTAGGGCTCGTAAGTATCCTGTTTCATGTCTAATAGCGATGGATTAAGTTACTTGTTGATTTCCAGAGTATCGATGGTGTTAAAGAACTCATTACGGGCACCAGTGAATGTTACTTCCCTTGAATTCTTTTTTACTGCCCTTATCTTTCTTTGTCTTCTTTCCTGCTCTTTGTTCCTACGTAAAATATTTGCCGAACTCGAAGAATAAAAACATTCCGATTGTCTCAAAGCGCAAGCCTATCGCAGACAACAATTTTATGAGACACCTCCTAGTGCTGCTGCACAATACGAATAGACCTGGGTACAGATGTCCATTGTGCTCACGGTCTTTGACTAAATTTATTAGAAACCTACACAGTAATATCGTTGTATACACATAGTCTTTTATCTTTAATTTGCGGTACATCTAGAGGTACGGAGTAACTAAGTTATTAATAGAGCTCGAATCCTCTAATCCCCATCTGGGTCAGCCACTAAGACACATAAATTAATGGGAAAAAAGATAAAATTGTCTTACCCAAAAACTTACAGAATACCCCTAAGATGAATATCCAATTTAACTCGACACGGTTATTATATTTGCTTACACACACAGACCTGACATCTCTGGGGGACAGGTCCCTGAAGCTAATCCACTTTTGGAGCCGATGTGCGAGCCATGGGGAACAAATACTTGTATTTAAATAACATGTATTGTAAAGTATACTTAATATGACACACAATATAGTGGAGTACTTCCTTGTAAGGGTCCTATTGTAATGTAACAGACCCTGACCCCCCGTTGTGGCTGCCAGATTGGACGACGAAACTGCGGTTGCCCCGAGTTCTCCCCCCCGTTTCCGTTTCTTCTGGTCGAGACCTTATCCTTTCCAACTTCGTCACTCTTTGTCTTTCACACACGCTCTTTAGCCCACACACTCTTTTACTCTAGATTCGCTGTGCGATCTTGAATCCAGTCTTTCATCCAATTTCCCAATCTCCTGCCAATCTTTCATCATGCTCTTCAACAAGTCCATCTTCGCCGTTGCCGTTATGGCTCTGGCCAACGTCGTGACTGCCACTACCGTGCAGACCCCCGCCTGTGTTCTCAAGATCATCGGGTAGGTTGAGAATGAATGGAATGTGGAATCATGAGCTGATGACATTTAGCAACCAAGCCAACCCGGCCGATTCGAAGGCTATCTGCGGCTCGAGCGCCAGCAAGATCCAGGCCGATATCTCCAAGCACTGTGCCGATAGCGAGGCCTCCCTGAAGTTCTTCGCCAGCAACTGCGCTCAGCTTGGCCACAAAGTTGGTAAGGATCAACACACACCCGAGAACACATTATATCAATCGGTTACTTATTATCTTCTCTTTAGTGACTGTTTCCACTACCTCTACCGGCACTTCTGAGAGCTCCACCGCCACCGGCTTCGTCACCGCTGTCACTAGCACTCAGACTGGTGCCACTGCCACCAAGACTGATTCCTCTGCCGCCACTGGCACTGGCTCTGGCTCCAGCCCTGCCGCCACTGGAACAGGAGCCAGCACTGGCTCCGGCTCCGGCTCCGGTAGCGCTGCTTCCCCTAGTTCGACCTTCAACGCCGCTTCGTCCGACCGCCAGTTCTCCTCGACCACATTTGTTGCCGCCATTTTCCTCGGCGCTGCTGCTTTGCTGTAAGAACCTAGCATTACCTGGGAGCAACCCCATAGCGAAAATCGATGCAAGCATGTATTACTAGCCTTGATGTTGCTGCTTTCGATCTAGTTTGAAACATCGGTGTTCAGGGATCTGGTTCGAATTCTCTAATATGTTGCTCGTCTGATGCCAATATTTGAATCCCTTGAACTTTTATCTTCTTATTTGCCAAAATCACATTGATTTCTATGCTCTTTACCTTCTCACAGAACAAGTCTTGAAAACATCTAGGTCTGCCTTAATTGCCAATCAGTCGGTCGATATAAACAGACCTAATTGAATCCAATCTATGACCAAAAGATGCTGGCACGTTCCCATTATAGAAGAAAGAATATTCCATACAAGTACTCATGGTAAGGAGTGGTCATCCCGCCTTTTGGTCCCTTGACCAGAAATGATGTACATGTAGATCTATCACATTGATACGTAATGCAGTAAGGAATGTTGCATATGATGTTGACTAGGACATGGTGGGGTGAACCTCAAGCTGTCAGAAAACACTTCAATCTAACAATGGCAGTTGAAGATCATCTGAGCCCGGAATGCTTCAGGCCGCTCGGCGACAGCCCCTTCCGGTAGCATGGCATCCATGCGCGACCATTCGCGTGTTCACGTGACCATGCGCGACCTACAGTTTGGCTGCAAGGCACATTTTCACCGCCTATCATCCATTTACACCGCTTTCCGCATCTCCGCTAGTAGACCCACGCTAAGACCATTAGTATCAATGCGCTAACCGTAAATGGTATAAATGGGTGCTTTCTGCCTGGCAGGATGGAGGTTTAGAAAGAAAGGTGGATCCTCCCTGTTGGTAAGCTGAAAAAACGCGGGCACGCGAGACAACGCGTCCACTCGGCAACCAAAGATTCCTCTGCCCCTCTGATCTCTTCTTCTTCTCACACCCCTCTACGGGCTTCATACATTCATCTTTTCCCCCTTTCTCTATCTATACTCTAATATCGTCTCAATTCTCCTGTGATCTTGATACCCCTGTTCACTTCTTCCTATTTTTTTTCGAGCCCCTATCAAAACTAGCACTATTCAAAATGTTCGTCTACAAGAGAGGTAAGTGCATACATGATCATCTGGTATACAGAGTCATTAGTGGCGAGAGATAGCTTCTGCTCCTCCATCTCGCCACAGCCATATGACTTTGCCACACTCCTCGGATCGAGGGCTAACGTGAATATCAACTGCAGATGGACGCAAGGAACGCGTGCAGTTCGACAAAATCACCGCACGTGTCTCGAGGCTCTGTTATGGCCTCGACCCCGAGCACGTTGATGCCGCTGCCATCACCCAAAAGGTCATCTCTGGTGTTTACCAGGGTGTTGGCACCATTGAGCTAGATAACTTGGTATGTTCGCTTGCTTGGCCACACTCTGTGACAGTATACTAATATTTAAATCTCAGGCTGCCGAGACAGCTGCATACATGACCGTCACACACCCCGACTACGCCATTCTGGCTGCACGTATCGCCGTTTCGAACCTCCACAAGCAAACCAAAAAGCAATTCTCCATGGTCATCTCCGATCTCTACCATTATGTGAACCCTAAGAACAATAAGCCTGCTCCTATGATCTCAAAGGAACACTACGAGATCGTTATGAAGCATGCCGAGGAGCTCAACTCGGCCATTGTGTACGACCGTGACTTCAACTACAACTTCTTTGGATTCAAGACCCTCGAGCGTTCATACCTTCTTCGGATCAACGGCAATGTTGCCGAGCGTCCCCAGCACTTGCTGATGCGTGTTGCTGTTGGAATCCACGGTGAAGACATTGAAAAGGCCATTGAGACATACCACTTGATGTCCCAGAAGTTCTTCACTCACGCCTCCCCCACTCTGTTCAATGCCGCTACTCCCCAGCCCCAGCTTGCATCTTGCTTCCTAGTTGACGTAAGCGCGGACAGCATCGAGGGTATCTATGACACTCTCAAGACCTGTGCCATGATCTCCAAGACCGCCGGTGGTATCGGTCTGAATGTCCACCGCATTCGCGCTACCGGTTCTTACATTGGTGGAACCAACGGCTCCTCCAACGGCATTGTTCCTATGCTGCGTGTGTTTAACAACACCGCACGTTATGTGGACCAGGGTGGTAACAAGCGCCCTGGTGCCTTCGCCATCTACCTGGAGCCGTGGCACGCCGATGTCTTCGAGTTCCTCGATCTGCGCAAGAACCACGGTAAGGAGGAGGTTCGCGCCCGTGACCTTTTCTACGCTTTGTGGACCCCCGATCTCTTCATGAAGCGCGTTGAGGCCAACGGTGACTGGACCCTCTTCTGCCCCAACGAGGCCCCTGGCCTAGCTGATGTCTACGGTGATGAGTTCGAGGCTCTCTACGCCAAGTACGAGCAGGAGGGCCGTGGCCGCAAGACCATCAAGGCTCAGAAGCTCTGGTACGCCATTCTCGAGGCCCAGACTGAGACTGGTAACCCCTTTATGCTCTACAAGGATGCTTGCAACAAGAAGAGTAACCAGAAGAACCTGGGTACTATTCGCAGCTCCAACCTGTGCACCGAGATTGTCGAGTACAGTGCCCCTGATGAGGTGGCTGTCTGCAACCTGGCTTCCCTCGCCCTCCCCACCTTTGTCGACTCTTCCCGAGGCGAGTATGACTTTGGCAAGCTCCATGAGGTCGTGCAGGTTCTCGTTCACAACCTGAACAAGATCATTGATATCAACTACTACCCCGTTCCCGAGGCGAAGAAGAGCAACTTCCGTCACCGCCCCATCGCTCTCGGTGTCAACGGTCTTGCCGATGCTTTCCTGGCTCTGCGTCTGCCCTTCGACTCCCCTGAGGCTAGACAGCTCAACATTCAGATCTTCGAGACCATCTACCACGGTGCCTTGACTGCTTCCAACGAGATTGCCAAGAAGCTTGGTACCTATGAGACCTACCCTGGCTCTCCTGTCTCACAGGGCATCCTGCAGTACGACATGTGGGACCGCACCCCCACCGATCTCTGGGACTGGGCTTCCCTGAAGGCCAAGATTGCCGAGCATGGTGTCCGCAACAGTCTGTTGGTGGCTCCCATGCCTACTGCTAGTACCAGTCAAATCCTGGGTTTCAACGAGTGCTTCGAGCCCTACACCTCGAACATTTACTCCCGCCGTGTCCTGGCTGGTGAGTTCCAGGTTGTCAACCCTTGGCTCCTGAAGGATCTGGTCGACCTCGGCCTATGGTCCGATAACATGAAGAACCGCATCATCGCCGATGGTGGCTCCGTCCAGAACATCCCCAACATCCCCGCCGATATCAAGGCTCTGTACAAGACCGTTTGGGAGATCTCCCAGCGCAACATTCTGCAGATGGCCGCCGATCGTGGTGCCTTCATCGATCAGTCGCAGTCCCTCAACATCCACTTGAAGGAGCCCACCATGGGCAAGCTCACCAGCATGCACTTCGCCGGCTGGAAGATGGGTCTGAAGACCGGCATGTACTACCTGCGTACCATGGCCGCTTCCGCTCCTATTCAGTTCACCGTCGATCAGGAGCAGCTCCTGGTTGAGGACACCAACATCGCTCGCTCTAAGAAGCGTACCGGTGCCACCGGTGCATCCGCTTACTCGGCCATTCCCCGTACCAACAGTACCGAGGCCGTTACTGCCAAGGTCATCGCTCCTGTTGAGGAGACCCCGCGCTCTGTAGCCGCGCCTGTCGCTGCTTCTTCTGTCGAGGCCAAGGCTGCTGATGCTGACGCTGATGCTCAGCCTGAAGATGCCGAGAGCAGAGCAGCGGAGGGCGATATTTTCTCTGATGCGGTCCTGCAGTGCAGCATCGAGAACAAGGATGCTTGCATCATGTGCCAGGGTTAAGCTTTCTTTCCCTTGGATGTTTTTGGATGTTTCCCTTTTGAGTTTTGTGCATGGTCATGCCTTCTGTCGTGGCTTCTCACCTGTACCCATATTATGATTTTGATGGACTTTTTTTTCCTTTGTTTGTGTGTTTCGGCGTGGGCTCATGATATTTCCTGAATTTTCTTATTATTACTTCAATAACGTGTTGTTATTCATTCTTCCATTGTAAATTTTGTAAGCCAAGCACTCCGTAAATATTCGTTGTGGTACATGCCTAGTCTCATCGGCCTCGATTATCCCAACACCTTTAGTTTATTGTCCCTACCAATGATGTACACCCAACGCAAATTGAAATCTCCAAAACTCGAGCAAGCCACGTCTGGCGCCAAACGGACCCAATATCCCCATCCGGGAATGCTAAAGAGAAACACCCAAGGCTAGAAACAAGAAGTCGAATCAACCAAACAATCGCCAGTGCCAGTCCTTTATCCGCCGAAAACATAAAATTTATCAATCGAAGATGAAATGCTTTCAAACGCCCTCGTCGTTGACTACGAACTACTCTCCGCTGGTTCGATGGGGATCCTGGGCAAGCCACATGCTTCATATTTCGCTTTGTTCTTTTCTTTTTGACACCGACAAACAGATATTTCAGGAGGAAAGCGGCGATGAGACACGGTCGTTTGCAGTGGACTTTGCTGCCAAGGTGCTAGAACAGGTTTCCACCACGGCCGAAGTTGTATCCTTCCTATTAAAGCGGAAGCACTCACCTTTAGATACCGTAAATAGCCCCCTGTTCCATTGTGATATCCCCAGGAACGACATCCAACACATCCACATCGTCCCATGTTGCATGAACAGTCCGCTCCCCTTTTAGGATACGGTTGATATTGAGCATTATGCTATACATCACCCCCGAGCTAGAGAAGCCTGCTTGCTCACCAGTCTTATCATGAATATCGGAAGACTTTGCTTTTGGTCCTGCCTGACGGAAACCACCCGTAATCGACGGGTAAGGCGCAAAGCACCGCAAATAACCATTACCGCACATGCGTCCGAGTGAGATGTCAAACTGGGCACCGATATTAATCTCCTCTGCAAGACCAGAGGGGTTGACCGATAGGGCTGTCAGGATCCGTTGCGCACCACGGTAGCTCACGGCATAAAACATTGAGCAGACTGCGTCGCTTGCTGTGCACACAAGTCGACTGTGGTCGGGTCTCTCGTGGCCCTCGAACATCGGAGAGTCGCGCCACAGCGGGCGAAAGTGACGGGGCATTGGGATAGTAGGGTCGTTCGGCGTGAGATAAAATGGCAGGTCGGTTTTACATGATACACCACAGTGGCCTAACCATAGGATGTCCCAGTTGTCACCGTATGGTGACTGGGTTGGAATCTTTTGGGTATCCTGGAGCTGGAGCGCTCGAACTGCGTGGGCGAAGCTCTGAAGCTGGAGTTTGAGTGATACATCCCAGTCGGCATCATCTTCCATAATAATAGCACTGGTCAATCCACCCTGGATCATTCTAGGAGATAATTAGTTGAAGTCAGATACTGCAGTTTCAATCCACATACTGCTGGAGTCCGTTGACATGCGCCCGTCGGGCAGCATACTCGGTTCGTTTCTGGTCATGATTCCAGTTCTACAACGGTCAGTCGTGGCGTGTATTGTGTGGCTTTAGTAAACATACATATGGATAGGATTTATTATCTATTTCATCCGGAGTCACACCGTCTATCCATTCGACGTGGAAATTACTGAGTGATGAGCCCAGAACAATATTGTCCCGCTTGTCAGGCCGGCTGGCAAGGTTAATGGCGAATACTTTTTGAACCTATATAGACATGAGCTGAAAGATCTCCAGGTGAGGGCCTGAAGTGGAATGATTACCCCAAGAGTCTCGTTTCTGATGTCATCAAAGTTATCCCAATCAGGGCCGCTCCAGGCCGCCTGGGTGGGGGCGGTTTCCTTGTGAGTGCTTGGTTGTAGCTGGAAGAGGATGAAGGCGACCCCCAACACGACCAGAAGGAGCTGTACAAAGCGTAGTTGGAATGCAGAAAACGCCATCCTTAGTTGTCATTGGGATAGAGACAACAGAACGCGTTGACCATCGTGAGCGAGTAGGAGGTAGCATCGCATCTTGCTAAGGCATGGTTGGTCGATATATATTGGGTCTCCACTGTGCACATGGGTAGCCTCGGGTCATGTCAGCGACGCTAGCAGCATTAGCTGGGCTTGAGTTGAATGATCGTCGGCACGGCCGGCACTGATTTTACCTGACATGACACGCGCCAGCCTTGATTTGCAGGTGCTGTGCTCACAGGATTGTAGTCCCTGTTATATTGAAACGCTTTTTCCCTTTTAAGGACCTACTGTAGAGAATTCGCAGTCTGGTGAAGGTGCTCCGCCGTAATCTGGTAGAAATTGAGACGTTGCGAAATTCCATGTAGCCCTGGACGGATTTCCTCCTGGATGAGCTTAACCTTCTGAACATTCCTTCGTGTGAGATCGCGTTGGGAGAAGAATTTGTCACACTTGATGAAGACTGCTCTTGCTGCGGATCGTCATTGTAGATTTTGGTTGCATACTCACAAGGTGCGACTGTCAGCTTGAAAATAGGAAAACACCGGTGAAGACCATCAAGCATTGAATCACCTAGTTAAACGGAAAGAGGCCTATATCCGCCAAGGCATACCAGATTATACGGAGATTCCAGGGCCTCTCTGCGAAAGGATTGATTTCACGATGCACTCAATCACGGTGACACCTTTGCTAGATTCCTCGGAGCCTGTACTGATCGTCCAGGATAGGCAGTTACGATTCTCCCTTACCTTCGAGACGACAGTTTCATACAGAGATTCATTGGACGAACGCTCCCGGTCACCATAAACGGCTTTCAAACTCCACCTTAACGGTCATCGACTGGCTCGACGCGGATCCCGGGCAAGCCACACGCTTCATCGTTCGCCTCTTTTTCTTTTTTTTTTTTTTGCCCACAAACAGATACCTTTCGTTTGTTTATTATTGCTAGGGGATTTTGTGCGCTCACAATTGATAAGAGAGCAGATGTGGTTTGTAGAAAAGGGTTTCCATTTATGCTGACTTCAAGTCTTTTTGATCTCACATTCCGCAGATTTGCACTCCGCCGGGATCTCGAATCTAGAATCTCAGATCTCACATTCCCGGCACTCTAACACAACGAACAATCCCTTGACATACCATGCAAATTCTAGACCCGTATTCTAAGACAATGGCAAAAATAGCGCTGATTGGCATATCTAGTTGGTACTTGCATAGTATTCCGTACAATCCGGAGTCCAGCCCCCCATCAAATTCTTCGAATCTGTAATTTCATATCAATGTGCTATTAAACGAGATCTTCGGTCAAGTGGAGCAAAGGAGACTGGACGGAGTATACGGAATATGGTTGGGTCTGGAATACACAGTCAGAGCTCTGCATTTTGAGCAGTTAGCACCCTGATCGGGTTCCCGGTATGTAGTATCAGATACATCTCAAGGTTCCGATGCGTGCCCTGTGCCCTGCATTTTGCGTGTTTTAGGGGGGAAGAAGGGTTAGAGTACTCCAAATACGGCGAGAGACCTTGAAAGTGAAGAGTCTACATCCTAAGATTCAATATAGTTACTCTACATCTATAGACCCTAAATTGGTATATTGTATATTCACACAATAGAAAAGAGATCGGCACTATTCTCCCACTAAACCAACGGTTCGAAAACTTAGAAGTCCAGACCGCAGTGGAGAGCATTTAAATTACCCGGAGTGTACAAAACAACCCTGTCCCGATCCCAGCTGGATTGGCTTAAAGGTCTCTTTGTCTTACTGTAGCATTGTCCAATCAGTGGACCCGTTACAATACGCACATGTCAGACTACGAAAAGGCAAACTGCAGTATTCTGACCGATCCTCCCCTGTGCGTTGTGTGTACACGTTTTGCAAGGCGACTAGAAGGAGAGATGAGATCTTAATATGAAGAAGAAAAATAGAGCGGATATGGTATCCCCCTAATAAAAGAAAGAAAAGAAAGAAATCTCAACTGTTTCTGATAGGCCAGTTGGTCAGGTACCAGAGGCAAAATATGTGGGTCGTGAGACCCCAAGTCGTTGGATCGGCTGAAGCCGGTCTATTCCTAGAAGAGATTAGGGTCAGGAGAAAATGGTTTGTGTGGCGCACAAGCCCCTGGTCTTTTTCCTGTTCCAATGAGGATCTACGGGGATACCCGGCTCAGGTACCTGAAAGCTGCGATTATGATATTCCCCTCTGTTTTCTATGGGCATTACTTTACACAGAGTATATTGGATACCATAAGGGGAGTGAGTTGTTCATGGTCCGGTACGGATCGTGGCTTGATTTGGACCATGGGTTTGGGAGATAAGTGGGTACCTAACCTTGGGAAGTGGGCCGTTTTCCTCTTTTGTGCCTTACTTTGGTATTTTATAAAAGTCGAGACCTCTTCCCTTCTCTTTCTCTCTCTCTCTCCCTCTCTCAATCCATTCTTTCCTTTTTGAACACTCACATTCCTTTCGAGTGCCCAATCTTCCTGCTGTGCAGTTGATCAATCCTTTAAACAACATCACACACACCCTCTTTGAGAAATCTATTCCGATTCATTCGCAATGGCTCCTATTACCAAGACTCTCGCCCTCGTTGGCGCTTTCTTCGCCTTGACAGGCTACTCGGCTCCCGTTGCCAAACGCGTCGTCGTTTGGGAGACCGTTACTGATGTCGTCTGGACCACCGTCGATGTCACCACTACCATCTACCCTCAGGCCACTCAGACCGCTACTGTCCCTGTGGTCGCCAACGCTGTCCCTACTACCGCTGCCGCCGCTGTCCAGGCCCCTATCAAGGAGCAGGAGAAGGCCGCGCCCACCACCTCTTCGACCACCACCACCGCTGCTGCTGCCCCTACTGCTGAGGCCATCGTCAAGGAGCAGAAGGCCGCGCCCACTACCTCCACCACCACTGCCGCTCCTGCTCCCACCGTGGAGGCCTATTCTGCCCCCGCCCCCGCTCCTGTCGTAGAGGCCGAGACCACTACTGCTGCCCCTGCTACCGCTACTGCCCGTGCTGCCAAGAAAGAGACCACCAACACAGAGACCAGCAGCGGCCGCACCGGCCCCTGCTCCGAGGGCTCCCCTTGCACCGGTGATATCACCTTCTACGACACCGCCACTACCAGCACCAACCCCAGCTCCTGCGGCACTACCAACGACGGTACCGTCGAGAACGTTCTTGCCCTTCCCCACGGTATCATGACCGACGGTGACTGCGGCAAGACCGTTACCATCACATACAACGGCCAAACTGCTACCGGTACTGTGGTCGACAAGTGCATGGGTTGTGACAACGGCTCTATCGATCTGTCCCGTCACTTCTTCGGCCAGCTCGCCTCCATGGACAAGGGCCGTGCCGGTGGTGCCAAGTGGTACATCCACTAAACGTTGCGTCGACCGTGCGTTGGTATTGATGGCCACGAGTATGAACATGAATAATGGACACATCTCTGGTAGATTGCGCAAGCGGATATGGTCTTGACGACTCTTCCCTGTTTTCTTTTCTCTCCCTTCTATCCACTTCACTATGATATTTCCCCTTCTTTCCCAGTCTCTTCGAAAACCCAATCATTTATCTTTCGGAGAGACCAGGCTTTTTTTTACCTTCGGCTCACTCCTTTGACCCTGGATCTTTTTACCATTTCGCGTGTCCCTAGTGGACCGCATTCACATTTTACCCATTTTTTCATGTTCATAGAATGATTCTTCTTGTGCAATACCACCTTATGATGGACCCAGTTCGGCCACAAGACATATGCTTAAGATCCCTGCGCGCATGCTGGCAAGTCATGGACGGTTTGATTCTCTTGACGAGATCTCGAACATGCAAATGCGACAGGGCAATGACGATGACGATGATCATGCTCGTGAAACGAAAAGAAACCTCCTAAAAAGGATTGCATACTACAGAAGACAGATCATTAAATGAAATTCGGTTCGTTTGACATTTGTTTTGCTCCAATGGTCTCTCGAGTATTCGTCCTAGTAGTACGGAGTAGTATCCAGGTAATACCAGTAACCGTGTACAACATCTTGGGGTTGCCCCTTTCTATTTTTGAGACTTCTCCAAGTCGGCTCGAAACGGAAAAAGAACTACAGCAACGCAAGGCTAAGTAACTATTGGTCCATGCTGAGACAGCTGCGCCTCACTTCCAGCTTGGGATGCTCAATTGCGGGCCTCCATCCCCAGCCAAGTCAGGCTATGCAGCGGAACTTTCTTGCGATATTGTCTTAAATTTGGATCTGCAGTGCTCTGACGATCTCTATGTCTTTCCCGTCTATAGTCTAGCCCTAACCCCCATCCTACCATCAAAAGCCAGATAATCCAGCTCAATCGAACACCACGCCATTCCTCAGTGTTCCAATGCCATCAATAACAACATCCATCTGTGTTCCAGGGACCAGGTACTTGGGCGGCGAAAGACCAGCGCCAACACCTACCAAAGAAAACGAGTCAGCTCAACCAATTCCATCGCAAGCAAATAAAACCAAAAAGAGATAAAACTCACCACCAGGCGTCCCTGTCATAATAACACTCCCCTTCTGCAACGTCGTACCCTGCGAAAGATACGACACCAGATACGCGCAATCAAACAAAAGATCCGCAACATACTCCTCCTGTCTAACCTCCCCATCAACAATCGTCTTCAGTAGCAGCTTACTGGGATCGGCGATCTCACTCGCAGCAACGAGACACGGCCCCAGCGGCGCAAATGTATCAAATCCCTTGGAGAACCCCCATTGCGGGACACGTCCTGCGAGCTCCGGGTTACGCTGCAGCTTGCGCGCTGAGATATCGTTGCCGACTGTATAGGCAGCTACATAAGAAAGCGCGTTCTCTCGAGAGACGTTCTTAGCATCGCGGCCGATAACCAGGCACTGTGAGCGGTTGTAAGTATACTGGATACTAGAGCAGGGTATTCGTAGACTTTGAAACAGGGGACTTGTCTTACCAGCTCGCCTTCGTAGTCTGCCTGTGAATCCTGGGCAATCTGTGGGATTGCAACTGGTACGCCGTGGTCGTGGATTGTGGTGTTTGGCTTAAAGAAGATGAATGGGAATGGGGGTGGGGTGCGGCCGGCTTCTTTGACTGTAGACACGGTGGATATTGTATAAGTAACTGTCTCTGGGAGTGTTTTGTCTAGTAAAGATAGTGAAACTTACCATGCTTTGCATAGTTCAATCCGACACAACGCAGAATAGGAACATCTGCCGGTGCCAACGGGCCCAACACGGTCTTCACAGAGACGATTTCATCGGTGACGCGTGTTTTGCCTGTGGTATCGTAGAGGTCATCGCCTTCGATGACACGTGCTTGGAGTTTGTCTGACTCGGTTATAAAGCCCAGGTCTGTTGTTGGGGTAGAGAGGATGGGCTCGCCGCGCAGGGTACGGCCGTCTGTGGCGATGAAGCGGATTAGGCGTTTCCACGGGAGAGACATGTTTTCGAATGTTTTGTTCTTGGTCTTAGATTTGTTTTAATCAAACTGGCTAATAGAGGGGCATTCATTCCGGGAGTTGGGGGGGTTATATGGCTCTTTACTGTCGTTGTGCCGGGGATAGATCGGGTAGACTGGGGTTGTCGGGTGCAGTTCCGGGATGGGGGACATGGCTCGGACTGAGGGGTTTAGTAGCTCCTCGAATGAGAAATGAGAGGATGCGGGGAAATTGGAGTATGACTAGTATGATCTGTCCCATTGGTCGATGTGCCAAGTAGCTTTCTTCCAAGGTTCTTGGAATCGGATATCTACAGTGTTTAGACTGGTATTGATGAACAGAAGCGAAAGGAAATGCATAATAGATCTAGAACTGCTTCATTAGTTTACATAGAGAGCAAAAAAGGGCCCTGGAGAGGGGAACGAGGTATATATGAGAATTATAATAGGTAGTCACCCAAAAGGGAAGTTGTATATTCTCTATATAGTACGCCTTTTTTCTACAATTCCGACTTCCAAGCTTGATCAATCTCTTGCTCGGCATCATATCCATAGCACCATATCTGGGTCGCCGGATCACTCCACTGGTTAGGGCTGTGGCTGGAAGGCAACCCCAAAGTCTCAGGCTTCATAGCTGCATCACGGGCTTCCTGAAGCGACCCATCGGCGAAATGCCACAGCTTTCCATTCAGAAGACTCGCCTCCTGCATCATTCCAGCTCGCTCAATGCGGATCTGCTCGAAAATACCCAATGCTTTGGGGATGTCTGCGGCGTTCCCGATTTTGGACAGAGAGCGTGCGAGTGCTGCGCCGTCTTCGACGGCCATTGCCGCGCCTGTCTGGTATTAGCCACTATTGTCAAAGTGAATTGTGGACTTGGACTGACCTTGTGACATATAAGGCAGCATTGCATGTGCTGCATCTCCTAGGATCAATACCTTGCCATTCACCCAGCGAGGCAAGGGGACTCCACTGATCAGTGGCCATTTGATAGTTTTTTCGATGAGTCCGATGATTTTCTCGAGTCTGGAAATATGTTAATAAGAAAACAAGAAGAGCAAATTTCATAGACTCATACCGGCTGTCCCATCCCTGGAACTCGCGCCTCATATCACTGAGAGTATTTACCTGATCCCAGGTTGAAGGATCACTGTCATCTGGATGCGAAAGAACCATGTTGAAAGACTTGCCGGCCCCGATGGTGTATGTCATTACGTGCCGTTGATCGCCAATCCTAGCACAAAGGTCAGTTGGAGTTCGAAGATCCTTTCATAATTGTGCTGACCAGATATTGAGAGCTGGCTTTTCCAACAGCCAAGCAAGTTCTGGGTCTTCTTTAATGCGCTCCACGTCTACAGTAGCTCGGTAGGCTGCGAACCCAGTCTTCTCGAAAGATGGCTTGCTGCTCTCGTCCATGGTTCCACGAGCAACCGACTTGACACCTATAAAAGATTAGAGTCGGTCATATGTCTCTCAGGAGCGTGAGAATATATACCGTCAGCGGCAACGACCAAATCAGCCGAAGCAGTTTCGCCATTCCCAAGAACGATACTTGGCCCTTCGACATTATATCCGACAACCCGCGAAGCAACCTTAACCGTAACACCCAGATCTAGGGCGCGTTTATGCAGCGCAGAATGGAAGTTTGCGCGGTGGATCACATAGTATGGTGCGCCGAACTGTTCTCGGAAGTTCGGGATGAGTTGCGTGAGCCCAATGACATCTCCTGATTGCCAGCGTCGGAAAGAAATGGACCCGGGCTCAGTCACATACTCCTTCAGGTACGGGTCTAGGCCGAGTCTGCTTAGGAGACGAGTTGAGTTGGATGGGATTTGGATACCAGCGCCGACCTGGAGTAGGTGATTAGCTTTGGTTGACATCGATGGAGGACAGTTAGTACTTCTCCGAGCTTCTGTGCTTGCTCGTAGACAGTCACGGTGTGGCCAGAGCTTGCAAGCGCGATGGCTGTTGCTAGTCCGCCAAGTCCGGCCCCGACGACAATAATGTTTAGGCGGACCTGTGCAGGGATGGTTCCTTCACCTGCCAGTGGATCATTTAAGAATTTGAGGCAATTGCTGGGATATGTTGGGGTCTATTGATCCATTAATGAATGGGTTCCCATTTAGGGATGAAAAACTCACCTTCAAGGACGCCTGAGAAATATGGCCATTGGCCTGACCATTGGACACCATCTTGCTTACTGTCACTTGCTCTGTTTCACAGAAAAGTTATTGAAGCTCAACAGCGCATATCGTCGGATTACCGCCTTTATGACCCCTCAGCTGGGAACGCACCGGGGAAGACCATCCGATCTTGCCCCGGTCTTTAGCAAGAGCCGACGATCCTACGAAAGTGTTCGAGATATATTTGAGGGACCATTTCTCCATGGAATTCAAATAATACAATCTAAAGATCTTTCTCTTTACCAAAACGACTCCAATAATGACTTCAAATCAAGTGGAAAGTGTCGTTGACACAGAGGAGCAGCTTCTCGCAGACCTCGAGGCGAGCAAGACCCTCCCTCTGTGGAAGCAGATGGCCCGTCTGAACCCTCCGGCGCCAAACCCAACAACAATCCCAAATGTCTGGAAGTACAGCGCCATCAGACCTAATTTGGAGCGCGCTGGAAAGCTCGTCCCAGCTGAACAGGCTGAGCGCCGGGTGCTGATGCTCACCAACCCAGCTCGTGGTATGTACAGATCTATCTTTTGATTTCGCATTACGTTATACCTTGGATTTTGCTGTCTGCTTCGTACAACTGTCCCTGACGTCCTATCAAGATGCTCCCTTCACTACCGATACTCTCTACGCTGGTTTGCAGCTAGTGATGCCCAACGAGACTGCGCGCGCTCACCGACACACGGCCTTTGCCATGCGCTTCATCATTGAGGGCCAGGGAGGTTTTACTGCTGTCCACGGCCGACGCATCACCATGCAGCGCGGAGACGTCATTCTCACCCCGACTTGGAACTACCATGACCACGGCAAAGACGGTTCTGGCCCTATGGTGTGGTTGGATGGGCTGGATTTGCCCAACTTCAGACACTTCCCTGTGCACTTTGTGGAGCACTTCGATAAGCCCCGTTATCCTGCGGAAAATGTTGATAGTACCACTTCGCCGTTGGTTTTCCCGTGGGTTACCATGAAGGCGCAGTTGGATGGGGTTGCTGGAGACTGGGTTACTAAGAGATATTTGAAGGAGGATAGACGTGAAGGTATGATGTCCCTCTTGCTTAACTCATCGAGTGAAAAGATGGCTAATGGTTATCATAGTGAGTCGAGTCCTTGGAGGATGTGCTGAGCGAATTTTGGCATCTAAGGCTTCGCCTTCCCGGCGGGAGACTACTTCCGCTGTCTATCATGTCATCACTGGCAAGGGACGCTCGATTATTGGTGATAAGGAATATACCTGGGAGCAGGGGGATACTTTCTGTGTTCCGGCGTGGTACAGATACCAGCACTTTGCGGATGCTGAAGAACCGGTCTATCTGTACCGGTTTGATGATAAGCCCATGATTGATGCATTGGGCTTCTATCGCTCGGAGGATATGGATGTTGAGTCCCTTGTGGACGAGTGAAGCCTTTAATATGGCGCGATTGATACTCAGGGTCAAAGTATCGTGAGAAGATCGATCAAATGATAGAATGTAAAACAACTCTCACTGAATGTGGAATTTGACAATGAGAACATGCGTTGGAGATACATCCTTATGGACACGGTTCTATACACTGCAGAACGGGGTTCATTGACTTCGTAAGGTCATTGCCTGTTGAGTGACAGAAAGCCACCTGAAACAAGCATCGAGAGAATCATAATCTATAAAAAAATCGCAAACAGATATCCGCAACCCACAGATCAAGCGGGCACATATGGCTTATCACTTCTGACAATATACACTTCTCCAACGAGAACTGCACATCCAACCACCATAGAGATAGCAATAATGGGGAGGTTCACACGGGCAAATTCCAGACTGCCGACACGGATGTGCTTTCTTGCCAAGATATCACGCCACAGCAAACCAGCCAGCGAAGCACTAAACGCAGTGCTGAATGCGCCGTAATTGACTCCAAGTGCCATGCTGTAGACAGTAGCCCACCATGTGCGATCGGTGATGGGAACTCCACTGACTTCGTGGATCTTTTGCCATGCTTGGATGACACGCGAAAGGAGAATCGTAGTACCGATGTTTGTGCCAGCAAACTAGTGATCAAAAGGCGAGGAGTTAGCAGATGTAAAGAGAGAGAGAGAGAGCAAGAAAATTGATGAGCCCGTTGCTCAATACTCACATTACACAGAATCACAGACAGGAATCCCATTCCACCGATACTGCCTACTGTCCCGGTCTTTTCTACCCAGTGGTCCCATCCGTACGCGAAAACCGGCACCCAGCCCTTGGTAACAAGGGCCTGCACCAGAATAAACATCGTAAAAGCGAAGGGTACCAGTGCGAAAGGCATGTGGGATACTACGACCGTCATGGTGGGGAATGTCTCCTGTGACCAGCGGTAGAGATCAGCAGCGAGTGACATCAGTGTGCGTGGGCCATTGTTTTGATGGTAGGGATATCCCAGCTTCTCTTCGTCTGTCGTGTCTGTGGTTTGCCTCGAGTCGAGTACCTTGGACGATGTTGCGCGAGTTAGATGTTTGTTGTCCATCGCAACATTGTCTGGTGGCTGTATTGCCGGGAACTTTTCCTTCTCCTCGAGGACAGAGACTGACAATAAATTTCCGCAGTGTGGGTGGATATCCTTTGAGGCGATATCACTATCCGTGCTCTTCAGCGAGATGTCGCCAGCTGTGTGCTCACTACGGTGGCGCAGGCCTGAAGCATCATATTGCTCAGACAGGTCCGACCCCAAAATTTCCGTGCCCATCTTTTCTGACATCGCTTGCTGTTCCTCCCGGTCGCGCATTTCTCGCTCTTCCTCCTTTTTGCGCATTTCTCGCTCTGCATGTGCATCCTCAACCTCCTTTCGACCCTTTGCGGCAATCTCACGGGTGTCGTGGCGATGTAGCCAACCAAACGCGATATCCCAGCAGAACATAACAAAAGCAGCGGGTAATGTGACCCAGAAGACGGGGTTCTCTTTGCCTGATGCATTGATTGCCAGGAGGGTAATAAGTGTTGCGGCCATAATGATTCCCCCGAAAGACGCACCATTTTTGTCTAAGAACGGATTCATGATCTCTTCTAGTGATAGTTGCTTTCCCTCTTTATCGTCGGCATCCTCTTTCTCTTCGGCGGTTCCTCTGGCATTAGGGATGTTGGGGTTCACGGGTGGTTTGTTCTTTTGGTCCTCATTCAGCTCATGCATTGTGATGGAGAGAGGGATGAGGCTTTCATCAGCGAAAATGATATATAGCAGGAACGGGAAAAGAACGATTGCCGTCACAACTACGGGAACAATCATGTTGGCTGTGTAGACAATGAACTTGATCTTGAAAGCGCCAGCAAGGACCAGGTTGGTGGGGTTGGAAGAGACAAGAATCGCGGAGGCGATGTTCGCTATAGCAAACTGGCTGTGGATCCAGGCTCTAGGGTGGACGATATTGCTTGATACACGGGTCATGTATGCGAGGAACGCTGTACCGGACAGAATGATCGGGTCGTTTCCGATGAAGCTGCCCAACCCGAAAAAGAAGACAAAGAGGTAGAAGAATAATCGGTGGCCGACCTTGCCTGCCTTCTGGAGAACCTTAAAGGCTAGGTATCGGATGAGGCCAGAGGCGTCAATCGAGATGGCAATGTATGCGAGTGTGAGGAAGAAGACCATGATATCAATGGGGTTAATGTTACCTGCCCCCACTATTCCATCATGTACCTCTGTTCGGCCAATAGCCGAAATAGCGAGAAGGAAGAGGTCCGCTATTAAAGGTGCCGTAATGAAGTTCAATGGAAAGCGAAGTTTCACAAAAATGGATTGCTTGTCATTGGGTCCAGGGCGAGTCCGGTGAGATATTATGCGCATGGCACTCAATAGGTCCAGAATCCCATTCGTAAGCCATCGAGGCACGTATATGGGGATATGAAATGGGAAAAGGACGATGATATCTGCGCCGCAAAGAAGGAAAAGTAAGTCTCAGTCTCGCATTGTAGGCTTAGTCACACTTACTAGTTATAACAAAAATGATTAGGGTGATGATTGATCGCCAACTTTTGATTTTCGATGTATCGAGTTCGTCGTCCATTTTGAATGTTCGCTATTCTTTCCGAGATTTGATCCAAGAGGCATGCACTGGGTAATAGCTGTGGTCGTCCGGCACCAAGTCAGCCTCTCTATTTTGTTTCAGCCCCAGTCAGGTATGGCATGGTGACAAAATACCGGAGTGCAGAACAAGAGAAATTTGGGTATCAAGATTCAACTCTTGTATTTATTGCAGGCGCATTTCTCTTAACCAACGAGACAACCGCAAATATGACGATCTTAGTTACTCCCTGTTAATCGAAAATCCGTAGAAATTTCGCAAGTTTCTCTCTATCCCATGTGCTTGAATGCCGGAATCAAGAAATTGTCACAAATGCGGAGAAATCGGGTGGACTGCCCCTCATAATCACACCAACGAGTTCAAATGATTCTGACTTGGGCCGGGAAGAGAAATGGGAGACCAGCTGCTAATGAACAATCAAGGTCTGTGAGGCTGTGAAATATCTCCGTGTTTGATGTGGATTTTTGTGGATCAAGTATGCTTTATTAAAGTTGTACTAGAATCCGAAGTAATTAGTTCGATTTTAATGCACCGTTGTCACAGTAAAAGCCGGAGGAGAAATTTTCTGAGGGTCTGAGAGGGGTCTGAGCCTCAACAGAAAAGAGCAACCAAAAAAGGGTAAGACATGCACGGGACACAAGAGGACATTTTGATTAGCTTGCGATTAGCTTGGAATTAGCTGACAAGAAATGCCAATAAGAAAAGTCTGGACTTTTGGCAAGACTCAAACACCCTCCCTGGTCACTTTTTTGGCAAGTTTTGACGTCACTTTAATGTTGCCCGACCCGTGGTTCGGTCAATATCAGTTCCAACCTTTTGGATTATCTCGTGACTTAAGTGAAACATTTCCTACATAGCTTCGGTTGCTCAAATATCGAGAAATCGCCCTGCAGATACAGCCACCGCGCGATATGTACAAGGTTCTCCAACTTGCCAATCAGCGGAGCTGGCAATTGCCCCATCTCGTATTCACGCCCGGGT